GGGGTGGGGGTGGGGGGCTGGGCAGGCCGAAATAAAGGCACTGCCTGAAGCTGCCCCTCCCTCCCCTGCCCTCAGCCTGGGGGGCGGGGGCTGGGGAATGGACAGGAATATTTGAAGGGGGTTTCCGGGGATTGGGGCCGCTAGGGGCTCCCTGATGCCAGGGCAGAGCGCAGCGCAGGCAGCCCGAGCTGCAAAGGCACACGGTGGGGGTGGGGGGCTGGGCAGGCCGAAATAAAGGCACTGCCTGAAGCTGCCCCTCCCTCCCCTGCCCTCAGCCTGGGGGGCGGGGGCTGGGGAATGGACAGGAATATTTGAAGGGGGTTTCCGGGGATTGGGGCCGCTAGGGGCTCCCTGATGCCAGGGCAGAGCGCAGCGCAGGCAGCCCGAGCTGCAAAGGCACACGGGTCTAGAGGCCCACGGGGGAGGGCCAGACGCTGCTCTCGACTCTCCATGACCTGCCCCTCCCCCAGCCTGCCGAGCCTTCCAGAACGTGGCCACCCCTTGCCCGCCAAAGCCCCCCACCTCTGAGTGCCACCAGTGGCCGGCGGTGGAGCCCACCTCGCCCTCAGCCCCTGCTCAGAGCCCCAGCTGAGCAGGGTCCCTGGGAGGCAGGGAGAGCGGGCGGAGGAGGCTGACCTGCGGGGCTCAGCCCCTCGGGAGCCGGAAGCGGCCTGAGACTGCTGCTCAGCTCCGCACCTTCCTGGCTGTGTGACCTCAGGGAACACACTCGACCTCTCTGAGCCTCCGTTTGTAATCCACAAAAGGGGGGTCTCCACACCCAGCATTCTGGGGGGTTTGTGAATACAATTAAATAACACGAATGAACGCACGCTCATGACGCATTTTGGATGGATCTAGGTCCATCTTAGTTGGGTCTGAATGACATCCACCTGGACAGGAAGAAAGGCCTCAGACAAAATGTGAACGCTGACAGGGGCCTGGCACGCACGGCCCTCCTTCCCACGTCTTTATATACAGACCAGAGGCCTGGTGCACGAAATCCATGCAAGGGGCTCGGCCCTCGCAGCCCCGGCTTCGTCTGTAAGGTCCTTCAGCTTTCTGGTCTAATTAGCATATTACACTTCTATTATCATAGATATTTTTAAAATTAACTTCAGAGAGAAAGGGAGAGGGAGAGAGATAGAAACATCAATGATGAGCATCATGGATCGCCTGCCTCCTGCACACCCCCTACTGGGGATCGAGCCTGCAACCCCGGCATGTGCCCTGACCGGGCATCGAACCGTGACCTCCTGGTTCACAGGTTGACGCTCAGCCACTGAGCCACGCCGGCCAGGCCCTCCTTCCCGTTTCACAGAGAGCGGAAGGGAGTTACCCAACGTCACAGGGTACATCAGTGGCAGAATCAGACCTAGATCCCACCCCACGTCTAAGAATTCCTGAACGTGAGACAGATCCTCCGCTGATTCCAAACCATTCAGCTCACGGCTCAGGCCCTGGCTCGGGCCAGCAGTGGATTCTGGGAGGAGCAGGAGCGCAGAACGCGCTGAGGGTCCGCACACATGTTCAGGGCCCTCTCCCCGGACCCCACCAGCCAGAGGCTGGGCGTGTTCAGGGAGGGCCCCACACGGCACCAGGGGACCGAACAGGGAGGGAGAGTGGGCGAAGGCCTGGCGCCCCCAGCTCAGGTGCAGATGCCATCAGAGCCGCCTGTCTCGGAAGACCCTGCTCCTTTAGCCTGTGTGTGTCTCCAAGACGTACAGCTTGTTCCTGTCTAAAGCTTGGAGGCAAATGGGTGACCCTAGTAGTTAGTGGTTCCATGTTTCTCCTGGGCCTGGGTGCCCCACGCCCCCCCAAAGCCCTGGCGGATGCCCAGCTGTGTGTGCCTTGCCTTGGGGCCCCCCAGGAAGCTTCTGACTCCAAACCTGCAGGCACGGGGCCGAGCCACCACACCAGGAGGCCTCCAAGAGGCTGACCGCTTGACTGGACTGGCTGGTGTCTGGTGAAGACGTGGTGTTCAAGATGTGGTTTCATCCAGGTGTAAACAGGAAGCTTCCACCCAGAAGGGCCACGGACAGGTTCTGAAGGAACAGAAACCAAACCTTGGCAGGGAGCTCCCCCAGTGGCAGAAGTGGGTCAGGGATGGAGCACATAGTAGGTGCACAGGAATGGGTCAGGGATGGAGCACATAGTAGGTGTGCAGGAAGGGGTCAGGGATGGAGCACGTAGTAGGTGCACAAGAATGGGTCAGGGATGAGCACATAGTAGGTGCACAGGAAGGGGTCAGGGGTGGGAGCACATAGTAGGTGCGCAGGAAGGGGTCAGGGATGAGCACATAGTAGGTGGGCAAGAATGGGTGGAGGGGGGGAGGTGTAGCACATAGTAGGTGCGCCAGCAATGTTTACTAAACTGAATTTGCTGGTGTATCTCATGCTAATTCCCCATTTTACATGTTAAGGGCCAGCTGGGCTCCGGTCCTGGCCCTGTGCTGTGTCACAGGCCTAAGAAGTTGGATTTTCAGAGTCCCCAATCCCTAAATAGGCGACGTCCCTCTAAGAGGGAAACAGGTAGGGTGCACCCCGCCCCCATGACATGATGCATTATGCTCTGGCTGCTCCTACACGTCCTGTGCGCAGTGCAGCCCCCGTGTCCTGGAGCTCAGGTCTGGGAACCCCCAGGCCTCATGGAGCCAGACTGGCACCGCCAGGCTTCAGTGCCCACTGGCGGCTGCAAGGCCCCTCCCTGGCCTGGGCCCTGCTCACTCAGTGCCCACCCCCTCGCCTCCGGACCCCACAGCCACATACTGGAGGCACAGGGCCCTGAACTTAGAGTGTGGGGTCAGCTTCCCCACAGGGAGACCCTTGCCCCCTTTGGCATGGAGTTACCCAAACTGGCTTTCTCACCCTCACTCCCAGCCCCCTGTAAAAAGCTTCCAGCCCCAGCTTCTAATGGGGGGGACCCCAGCACGCCCCTCACCCCCAACCAGGAGGGTCACAATGTGGACCCCGGGCTCTCCCTGATTCACGTTGGACAGAGGGACACAGACAGGTTCCTCAGCCAGAGGGTGGGCAGCAGTGTAGGTGGAGGTTCTGGAAGCTGGGGGACCCATAGTGCCTGCTGTGTGCACCCAGTGGGTGCCTTTCCCTGAGGCCGGAGGAAGCCCACCCCAGGCCCTCATCACAGGACACAGGACAGGGGCCCTGGTGGGTTTGGATCTACAACCGCCCTGAGGCTGTGAGCGAGCCTGGTTCACAGAGGGGTGGCAGTGGCTGAGATGCATGCTCTGGCTTTATTTACTTATTTCTTTAATATACTTTTGTTGATTTCAGAGAGGAAGGGAGAGGGAGAGAGAGGGGGAAACATCCATGATGAGAGAGTATCATGGGTCAGCTGCCTCCTGCACGCCCCCTACTTCGAGCCTGCAACCCGGGCATGTGCCCTTGACCGGGAATCGAACCCGGGACCCTTTGGTCCGCAGGCCAACGCTCTATCCACTGATCCACACTGGCCAGGGCCATTTTCTGGCTTTCGGACCCCGCACACCCAGCCTCTAGGCCATGGAGGGAAAGGCCAACCCCGATGTAGGGACAGAGGTTGAGCTAAGAGCGACACAGCACACACGAGGAGCCAGCCGCTCAGACCGGGCCCATGGAAACGCCAGCCCCGCAGGCCTGAGGCCCCGGGATTAACCATGTGGGGGACCCCTCCCCCCACCTCTCACCCCCCACAGGTTGCTCGAGCTGAAATCAGGTTGCATTGCGCAACTTGGTTCATTTTACCTTAACGGGGACAAGAAATACCAGGTCCCTGCTCCTCTGCCCGGTGCCTAAACTCCCACACTGGTGTGACTACCATTGGGGGGTCCACCGGGGCCACACCTGCGCTGGGCCCCGTGGGTCCCGCGACGAGGAAGCCTAATGATCAAAGTGCTCGAGTGGAGGGGGGCCTCGGGGTCCCTCTCAGCGATGACCACGTGCTGGGAGCTGCCCCCCACCCAGCCCCCTATTCAGCCGCCCCGGTGTCCCGTCAGATCCCCCTCCGCGCATCGGGCCGCCAGAGGAACCCCCTAAAGTACAGTCAGACCGAAACCAGGGCACAGAGGCTGCGGATGCGTCAGGGGCTCCCACCGCCCTTAGAAATGAAGCAAAACCGGAAGCAGAGCCGGAGCGCCCCGCCCCAGCTCGGACTAGGCCACGCCCACACGCCTGGTTCTGCCTCCACTCCTATTCGATATAGTACTGGAAGTGCTAGACGTAACGATCAGACAATAAAGAAATAAACGGTCCCTGCTCAGCAGGCCCTATCCTCAAGCCGCCTCCTCCCTGCTCCCCTCAGCGCGCGGGACACTCCAGGTACCGTCCTCCCTGCGCTCACTCACCCGTGGTGGGTCCTCACGCGGATACGGGCCGTCCACGCACGAGATGGCACGCGGGCCTCGACTGAGGCAACTCAAGGTCTGTGAGGGACCGAGGGCTGAGGGGGCGCAGGGCCGCTCTGTGTGAAGGGCTCTGAGCAGACCCTCGGGGCTGTGTCCGGCAGGATGCGCCCTAAGGGAGCGGGTGGGACCCAGGTCACAGGCGCCCACTATTCCCACAGCATTGGAGGTGGTGGCCGCGGTGAGGCGCGCGCAGCCGGACCAGGTGCGGCCACGAGCCCCGTCTCGCGACGTCTCAGGGTCTCGCGAGATCAGAGTTGGGCTGCGTGAGGGCAGGAAAGGCTCGCCCCTCTCTCCGGTCACGTGAGCAGACAGACTCACAGCGGAGGCACGTGCAGGGCACGTGCTGCGGGCCATGCCTGTCAATCAGGGCACCCTGCTTCTGCCTGCACCTGGACAAGGGGTCCACGCGCACATTCTTGTTTATTAGCTTTAAAAAGCCACCTCCGGCCCTGGCCAGTGTGGCTCAGCGGATAGAGCCTCGGCCTGCGGACTCAAGGATTCCGGGTTCGATTCCCGTCAAGGGCACAGGCCCGGGTTGTGGGCTCGATCCCCAATGGGAGGCGTGCAGAAGGCAGCCGATCCATGATTCTCTCTCATCATTGGTGTTTCTAGCTCCCTCTCCCACTCCCTCCCTCTCTAAAATCAATAAATATATATGTTAAAAATAATAATTTTTTAAAAATAACTTTTAAAAAGTCACCTGCACCCACACTCACTGCTACTATCCTTCAGCCCCGATGGGGCGTGAGTGCGGGCTTAGATGGGTATGTCTTATTTGCAGAGCGCTTCAGAAACCAGACCAAACGTACCTGGTTCCAGGGAACACAATTTATTGAGCACCTACTGTGTGCCTAGCCCTACTGTGTGCCCGGAGCCAGAGGACATGTTTGACACTCGGCACCTGCCTTAGTCATCCCAACAGCCCTGGGATTGGGGGGGTGGGGGAGGGAGCGTATCACTGTTGACCTATTTTTGAGATGACAAAACTGAGGCCCGGAGATGTTCAAGTCCCCTGTTCACAGTTACAGAGCCTGCACCGGAACCCAGGCTGCCTGGCTTCAAAACCCGAGCTTCTGTTGTTTTGTTTTGAATATATTTGTATTGATTCTAGAGAGGAAGGGGGAGAGAGAGAGAGAAACATCCATGATGACAGAGAATTATGGGTCAGCTGCCTCCTGCACACTCCCTACTGGGTATCGAGCCTGCAACCCAGGCATGTGCCCTTGACCAGGAATCGAACCCGGGATGCTTCAGTCCGCAAGCTCACACTCTATTATCCACTGAGCCACACCGGCCAGGGCCAACACCCGAGCGTTGGACCCACCAGCCACATAAAGACATGGGCTGGTGTGTGTGTGTGCGGAGGCGGGGGGCGGTTTGAGTTTATCATTCTCTGCCAAGGTACATAGAGGGGCGGGGGGAGAGAAGCACAATTACCCGCCGTGAAAACGTGTCACCGTGGCTTCTGCCAGGTGGCTCCTGTGTCTGCCGGGGTCCCACGAGTGTTAGGGAACACTCACCGAGGCGTCCCCAGCCCACGGTCCCGATGCCTGCACTCCGGGGGAGCCTGGAGCCGGGGCCTGCGTGCAAGCGCCAAGAACAGAGCTCAGCCCCCGGTGTTGATGTAGGAGCTGTGCCCGTGGACTGGGCAGGAGCCCAGAACGCTGCCAACGCCCAGGCTCCTCCGGGAGGGCCGCCGTCGTGCAGGGAGCAGCTGGGAGCCCTGCCCGCCCCCGCGGCCCGCCCCCCACGCGGAGCGGGCCCTGCAGCCCCCCCATGGCACAGCCCCTGCTCCCTGCCCGTCCCTGAGCAGCTACGTGACTCCGCCTCGGACCACGGGTCTCCGGCCACACGGTCTGGCTTGGGGTCCGGCTTCTGCCGCCTCCTGCAGGGCTCTCTGGGCCTCCGTTTCCCCATCGGCGAGGTGGAGGCCGTAGGAGAGCCCGCCTGGCAGCCCTGTCCCGAGGAGTAACCTGGGTGCTATGTGCCAAGTCCTGGCACAACACCCACAGTAGGTCTTCTCGACCGGCACACAGTCAGCTTCCACCTTACGACCGGATCCTCCTCAGGGAGGCAGCGGCTCACCTGGGCGTCTGGCACGTCAACACCGAGCCCTGACCCTGGACATAAAGATAGGATGGCACATTGTGTGTTTTTTAAATATGTTTTTACTGATTTCAGAGAGGAAGGGAGAGGGAGAGAGAGAGAGACACATCAATGATGAGAGAGAATCGTGGATCGGCTGCCTTCTGCACGCCCCACACTGGGGATCAAGCCCGAAACCCGGGTGTGCCCCGCACCGGGAATCGAACGGCCCCTCCCCTGGCCGGCCCCGCCCCCTCCCAGCCAGCAGCGGCGGGGAGCTGGGGAAAGGGAGGCCCTGGCTGGCAGTCCGCAGCTGCTAGGACCCTACCTGTGCATGGATTTCGTGCACTGGGCCTCTAGTCTTAACATAAAGAACCCGTGGGTTTCTGGAAAAGTCTGAGCGAGGTGCCCCTGCAAGAAGAAAGGGGGTTGCTAGGGGAGCCTGCTTCCTCCCTGGTGGCCACACAGCCACCGGCCTGTTCGTCCGACCTCCTACGTCTCTCTCAGACGCACCCACATGCGTCCCTCTCTCCCTCCACCGCTCTAGCCCAGGCTGCCATCGCCTCCCATCCGGACTCTGGTGTATCAGTCAGGGCGGGCTGGGTTCTGCTGCAGTGACAACTCAGCCGCACCCTGGGCTTCGTGGGCAGCGGTGGGAGCGCCCAGTTCTCACCCCGCGAGAGCTGCGGGTGCGGGTCCGTGCCTTCCTATCCAGCCGCCACCCAGACAAGCACCTTTGCAGGTGGCACTCTTGTGTTGATGATCATGTCTGGGCGGCACCTCGGCCACCCTGCAGGTGCTGGGGGCCGTAGGGAGACGGGCCCCTCGTTTGGCACACGGGGCTCAGGTAGACGGAGCTCATCTCTCAACGGACGAAGGGTCGCCTGTGTCCAGGCCCCGAGAGTCAGAGCTGGAACCCGGCTTCCCGGTTCCAGGTCCTTCGGATGAATGGACATCCAGGCCGACTGCTAACCTCAGCCATTCACCCACGACCAAGACTCGATCTGGCCCGGCTGATGTGGCTCAATGGTTGAGCGTCGACCGGTGAACCGGGAAGTCAGGGTTCGATTCCCAGTCAGGACACAGGCCCGGGTTGCGGACTTGATCCCCAGTGGGGGGCGTGCAGGAGGCAGCTGATCCGTGATTCTCTCTCATCATGGATGTTTCTCTCTCCCTTCCTCTCCCTTCCTCTCTAAAATCAATAATAATATTTTTCTTATAAAACAACCCGATCTCACTCATCCGGCAAAGCGAATGCAGAGCCAGCCTCTCCCCTGAAGAGGGAGATCATTGTTTTCCACAAGGTACTTCCGCGTGGAGTTTTATGTTTTCCAAATGGGGAAATCCCACCCGGACCTGGAAATAAAAGAAAGCTGTTCGGAATTAATTTTAGAAGCGCGCGTGAATGGCATCTCTTGCTTCGACACACACGGAAGCGGGAGGGCCGATGTGTCCAGGCGGGGGCGCTCGGCAAACGTCCAGAGAGGCGGCTGGAGAGAGGGGAGCGGCGGGCGGGGAGCGGGGTGACAGGCGGGCAGAGGTGGGCGTGGGGCCAGCCGGGTGTGACATCTGGGGTCTGGAGGCGTTCCTACCCATTAACACCAGGACCACTCCGCAGGCCCCCGGGCTGTGGGTCAGGCCTCGTCCAAGCTGACCCTGAGGGCTGGGACTTTAATAAAAAATATATATATATAAACACACACACACACACACACATACATACACACACACATACATGCTTTCCCCTGGCCAGTGTGGCTAAGTGGGTAGTGCATCGGCCTGCGGACCAAAGATTCTCTCTCATCTTGAATGTCTTTATCTCATTCCCCCTCTCCCTTCCTCTCTCTCTCAAAATCAATGGGAAAATATCCTCGGGGGAGGATTTAAAATAAAAAAATAAATGTATATGTTTTTATTGATTTCAGAGAGGAAGGGAGAGGGGGAATGAGATAAAGACATTCAAGATGAGAGAGAATCACCGATCAGCTGCCTCCTGCATGGCTCTACCTGGGGATCGAGCCCGCAACCCGGGCCTGTGCCCTGACCAGGAGTCGAACCGTGACCTCCTGGTTCGTTGGCCGGGCAGGGCTGGGCTGGGTTTTGCCCGGGCTTTCCCGTCCTCACATTGCAGCCCCAGGCGGGTGGCGGGTGGAGCAGCCGGCAGCTCAGGCCGGGTGGGAGCCTGGGAGCCAGGCACTCGGCTCCTAGCGGAGGGAGAGAGTCATGAATGGGCCCAGCCCCCCTGTGCGGTCATATCAGGTTGGGGTTGGGGGGCAGGCGGGCACAGCCCGCGAGCAGACCTTTGGGACACGCTGTGCCTGTGGCCCCACTGTGTGCCAGGCACCGGGCAGGCAGTACAGCCAGGCCGGGAGGGGCCGCAGCGAGGAGCAGGCTGTGGAAGGGGGTGAGGGGTCAGAAGACGCTCTTGGGGCGCCTGGCTGGGGTCAGGGTGAGCTCCCCCTACGGGGGCTGCAGAGCAGAGTGGCTCCCCTGGGACCCTAAGGGTGAGGTGGAAAGGGGACCTGGGGTGTCTAGAAGGATGCAAGGAGGACCCGCATGGATGGCCCCTTAGTGAGGGAGGAGGGGAGAGAGAGGGACTCCAGGCCAGGGCATGTGCGTGCACACATATATGTGTACGTGCACATGCATGCACACACATGCACATGTGCATGCACACCTGCACACCTGGATGGGACATGGGGCAGCATCAGGTAGAGAGGGCTGCTGAGGCAGTGCCAGCCAGGACCGCAGCCCCCAAGGTGCCCAGCGGGGAGAGGCCGCCCTGGCTGACCTGGGCACTGGAGTGGGGCCTGGCAAGGGGCGGGGTGGACCACGAGTGAGGGCATCCCCCCTCACCGACCCCCAGTCTCACGATATGATCTGCGAGGTGGGCGGTATCCTCCCCGATTTGTGAAAAAGAGAAAATGCAGGAGTGAAGAGACCGAAAGAATAAACTCGAACCCCGGTCCCCATGGGACGCCTGGGAACACCGGGAGTGTTCTTCCAACAGATGCAAGTGGTGGGGTTCCATGGGGAACCGAGTTTGGGAACAGGTTCCCTCGCGCAGGACTTGTCAGTGCCTTTACTGCATGACTGAGCGTCGCGGGCGTGGCTCATGGAGCCCGGGCGCCCCACCTGCTGCTGGCCACTGTCACCGCCCACACCTGCGGGGCCAAGCCGTGCCCCCTGCGTGTGGTGGTGAAGGGCTGCTGTCAGCCACCTGCTCAGCAGGTGAGGGCGCCCAGCGCCCTGGCCACCGGCTCGGCTGGGCTCGGTGCCCGGCGGGCAGTGTTTCCTGGTCAGGAATCACACATTTGAGGGAACAGGAGCCCATTCAGAGCAGCTTAAGCAACAGCGCCCGCCCCTCCTCCTCCACTCCAGTTCCCCGGCGCCCCCCCTCTGCTCCCCGGAGCCGGGCCTCGTTTCCGAGTGTGGACCCCAAGTCTCACCTGCCCACAGCCTCCTTCCCCTTCACACCCCAGGGTCGCGTCCAGGGCCCGACCGGGCGGTGGGTGCCCGGTGAAGGTTTGTCATCCGGGCTCCTCTGTCTGCCTTCTCGCTGTGTGGCCTTAAGCAGGTGGATCAGCCTCTCTGAGCCTCAGACAATCATACCTGTTCCAGCTGGGGAAGGTGGGAATACACAGGCCCTGGGAGACGAGCGTGAGAGCGTGAGAGAGGGGGGAGCACTTGGGGACCCCCCCTGCAGCCCCGTGTTCTCCCTGCTTCCGTCTCGAGGGGGAGGGGCGCCCATCAGAGCCCCCCAACCCAGCAGATGACGTTTCATGCTATAGCCCCAAGAATGTTTCCCAGGAAACAAGTGAGAGAGAGTGGCTGCAGCAACCCACAGGCTCACGCGCACACACACATGCACACACGTACGCACACTCACCCTGGCTGCCACCCAGACTGACAATGAACAGAAATGCAGTAATGTCAGCAGGAGCTAAAAGGACTCTACACGCCCCACCTTGGCCTGCTGCTCCCTGGCGCCTGGACACCCAGGGGGCACCCAGAGACAGGGACCAGGACAGCGCCCTCTCTGACCCAAGGCCCCGCCATGACCTCTTCCCGATGGATGGGCAGCCTTGAGGGTCCCGCCCTGCCCCCCACCGCCTGCCTGTCTCCTCTGGTTTCTCCAGGGGCCCCTACAGGCTTCCCCCAGCAAGTGGCCAGCCACCCCGTCTCCCAGTTCCCTCTCGGCTAAAAGGCTGGCCCCTCAGCCCCATTTTTTTTTTTTTTTTTTAATAAATTAACTAGAGGCCTGGTGCACGAATTCATGCACCAGTGGGGTCCTTCGGCCTGGCCTGTGGGATCGGGCGGAAACCAGCGCTCTAACATCCCCCATCGGCCTGGCCTGTGGGATCGGGCAGAAACCAGCGCTCTAACATCCCCCGAGGGGTACCGGATTGCGAGGGGGCGCAGGCCAGGCCGAGGGATACCACTGGTGCATGATCGGGGCGGGGAGGGACCGAGGAAGGCTCTGGGGCGTGTCTAGCCCATCTCGCTCAGTCCTGATCAGCCGGACCCCAGACACTGGTCAGAGTGTAGGTTTCAGGGGGAGAGAGAGAGAGACCAATGATGAGAGAGAATCATGGACCGGCTGCCTCCTGCATGCCCCACACTGGGGGTCGAGCCCGCAACCTGGGCATGTGCCCTGACCAGGAATCGAACCCTGGCCTCCTGGTTCATAGGTCGAAGCTCATCGAGAGAGTGAGCATGCTCCCCGGGCCCGCATCCCCCCAGCCGCGGATAAGGAACCCGTGCCCGGCTGGGGTGGCAGAGAGCACTCTGCCAAGAGCTAGCTGGGCGGACGCCCTGGTAACCGGAGCTCTCTCCTCGGTGCAGCATTATTTCACCGTGAACTTCAGCCATGAGAACCAGAAGGCCTTGGAGCTGCGGACTGAGGATGCCAAGGACTGTGACGAGTGGGTGGCGGCCATCGCTCACGCCAGGTGGGTCTCCCCCAGCCACGGGGTCCGGGCACGAGTGGCAGAACCCTGAACCCAAGGGCCCGATCGGGCAAACCCCCGCCTTAGGACGAGGGAGGAAGGCAGCGGAGGAGAGGAGGGGGGATGGGAGCTTGACAGAGACAAAGTTTGGGCATCAGAAGGTACGTGAGGTTCGCCCTGGCCTGGGTGGCTCAGTGGGTAGAGTGTCAGCCTGGGGACGGAAGGGTCCCGGGTTTGATTCCGGTCAAGGGCACGGACCTCGGTTGCAGGCTCCTCCCTGGCCCGGACCGGGTCAGGGTGCGTGCAGGAGGCAACCCATCGGTGTGTTTTGATGTTTCTCTGTCTTTCCCTCTCTCTTCCACTCTTTATAAAATGAATGGAAAAAATATCCTCGGGTGAGGATAAGGAAAAAAAGAAAAGTTATTAAAAAAATATATCAGTCCGGCCGATGCTGTGGTAGTGGAAGCCGAGGGTGTTTCTGGGACACCCCACCAAGTCGGGTCGAGGGGGGCGCAGGGAAAGTTCCGGGGACCCAGAGCTAAGCTAGGAAAGAAGACGGAGCCGGTCCAGGGAAGTGGGGGGCGGGGGAGGGGCAGAGGATGCTTCAGACAGAAGATCTGTCTGTGCAAAGGCCCTGGGGGGGGTGGGGGGGAGGGGGC